CCTCTCGGGTGATGCGAATGAGAGCGTCGAACACATTCTTATAGCCTCTCCTCTCGTTCAGAGGTAACCGTCCGTCAGATGTCATACGGATGAGAGTCACCTCTGCCGGCGTCCCGAAGAAGGCACCCACTGCTCCGGCAGTCATTCCTATACCGGCTTTGGCCAGAAATCCCGGAGGTTTTCCCGAATCTCCGCTCAGTTTCTCGAAGAGCGAGGCGTAGACACCCATCCGGACAGTCGTATAGGAGGCCTGTCTCAGTAGACCCGCAGATAATCCCACATAAAGTCCAGAGAAGCCCTCGTTTTTAATGACGGCTCGGATGGCATGTAAACTGGTTTTGTGTTCCTTTGCTTTTCCGCCTTCGCCTGCATTTCCATCCAAATTAACACTTAATTATCTACTCACGAGTTCATTGATCAACACTTCCGTCACACATACCACTCAATTGCATCCGATTCTTAATCAAATCCAATGGCTGTACGAAACAAGTGGCCAGCATTCTGGACATCAATACATCACCCGTTAGTATACTATACTCTGTGTATCAGTGATTATGACAGAGACATACCCAGCACTTCCACCGAATAAGAAGCGAATCGACTTCGGAATCGTTGGGGCTTTGGCTGCAGGAGTGGTGGCACTCGTCTGAGACATTCTTATGGCTTGATATCAATCACTTGTGTCCGCGACTAGTATTTACAATCAATGAGCAAAAGTTGTGCGAAGAATGTGTTGGAGTAAAGTGTGTGAACACGGGTAGGAATATTCCTCGGGAGATGTGGCACTTTGATTGCGCTTACAATAAACAAACGGTTCTTCAGTGCGGAGCTGATCTCATGTGAGATAACATGAGTTCAAAGTTTGAGTATTTTTTGAGTTCAGTTTGAACTTCAAATGAAAGAGTGTTGAGAAGTGTTTCGGTGATGACCTTCAGTGCACTCATACACTGATAGTGGCATACATTACACACACATCCCATACACTCACAGCAACCGTATGTATGAAAGTATGACAGCTTTGGAGACATTGAGAGGGAGAGAGCAGTCACTGCCAGTGCTGAGGAACTGGAGTGGAGTCGGAGTCACGTGACAGTCAAGTGGTGTATAGCTATAGCAACACTCTATCCGTACGATTGACTGAATCTCTATATTCGCGATTCACTGCAATTCTGTAACACTATTCTCAATACACGAACACTAACTGCAAGTCTAATACACTATCCATATATTGAGAGCAAACTGTGATCAACACATTGTTAACACATTTCTTCGTTAAACTTGTTTTGAGAATTAGTTTATTTTATAAATATCACAGTTTTGTGAAATATCGATAT